TTCCCTCCGTCCTGTGGTGGGAAGAGAGTGGAAATGCTGCTTGGCATCACTTGGTTGTCTCGAGCTCAGGGTATGTGGGCTCTCTCCTGCCTCCCAGCCACACCCACACCACTGCCATGTTCTCTTTGGCTCGTACAGTGCTTTAATTTTTAAGCTTAAAAGAAGAGTTGACAACATCAAAAACCAGGAGCTCGCCCGTAATAGTGCTGCTTTTGGCGAACCCTGAGAGGTCAGCAGTCTGACTTGGATCCACGTTCTCCCTGCAGAAGTGCCTGGAGCTGGGCAGGTTTCCTGTCGTCTTTCCCCGTCATCTGTCCTTGTTTCAAGGCGCCCTCCAGGAGCACCATCCCACAGCTCTGACATCTCCTTGGCCCAGCGATCCCCGGGCAGCTGTGAGGAGCCATCGTGCTCACTGGGCACATTGCTTCCCTGAATAGATATGAGGTTCAGTGACGAAGGAAAGAGAGAGATGTAAATGTTGGTGAGTCATCAGCACAGGTTGGGAGAGTGCTGAGGTAAGCTGATTCATGTTGAGTTCGAAGTTTCTTTGAGGACATTTTGGAAAAACTGTTCAACCGGCAGTCTGGTGGTTCCCCCAAGAAACCGATTCTAGGTCTGGGACTGGGTTGATAAAAGGAACCTGGAGGAAGCCCAAGGAAGGGGGCTGTGTCACCAGGTCACAGCAACCACCCCCAACTGGCCATGTTGGGACCACTCTGAGCACCACATAATCAAGTACGGGAATGAGTGAGAGCCATTGAGATACTAGGCATCCAGGAGTCGGTGATGACAATAGAGGGTTGCCTGGCCCCATCACAGAGGAGAAGGCCCCTGCCAGCCAGTGCACAGCACCTGCTGGGGCTAGAGGCAGCGTTTCCCTGCCATCATGTGAAGATAGGGTCAGGGAGGAACCCCCGGTGGATGCGGCTGTATGGCATCATGTCTACAAGTGGGATCCCCGGGGAGGGGCACAGTGTCACCTGTGCAGCGTCCCACAGGGGGCGCTTCCCTGAGTTTAATGAGGAGGAAACACCAAACAAACCCAAGATGAACGGTCTTTGGAAACAAAACAACAAAAGACAAAGGCTATGGAATGTTGCAGATGAAAGGGGACAAGACCACTAAAATGCAGTTGGGACCCTGGACTGGATCCTGTGCAGGAAAGAAGATGAGGTAAGGTTCTTATATTAAAGAAATCCCATATCCCAAGGAAGGAGGCCCTCACTGAAAGATGAGGGGTAAAGGACCAAGATGGTTCAGGAAAAATATCACATGATTTACTATATATTGTACATATGCTCACACACACACAGTAAGAACATGTGCAGACACACACAGGTGATAAAGCTGAGGCGATGTAGTATATGTTATATGTATCCTCACACACACACAGTGAGGGTCTGTACAGACACAGCTGATAAAGCTGAGCTGATTTACTATGTTATACGTATCCTCACACACACACATAGTGAGTGTGCGCAGACACACAAGTGATAAAGCTGGGGTAGTTTACTGTATATTATGTATATCCTTACACACACGTGATAAAGCCAAGAGGTAGCATGTTGGCAGTGGGTGAATCTAGGAAAAGGGTGGATTCTTTGTACTTCAATAATTCTAGCAACTTGTAAGTTTGAAATTATTCCAAATAAAATGTTTTTTAAAAATGAGATACCCCAATAAGCACATGAAAAGATGCTCAGCATCATTAGTCATTAAGGAAATACCATTTAAAACCACAGCAACTTATCACTTCACACCTGTTTGAATGGCTACTGAAAAGAATGGACAGTACCAGATGCTGGCGACATTATGGAGCCCCTGGAACACTCATACACTGCTGGAGGGAGTGCACAATGGTGCAGCCATTTGGAAGATGGTTTGATGGTTTTTATGAAGTTAAACATGCACAATCCCACTGGTAGGTACTTACCAAGGAGAGATGTGCTCACACACAGACCTGCATGCAATGCAGCCTCATAGATGACTGCTCAAACCTGGAAATGCCCACGTGTCCATCCACAGGTGGGTGGACAGGCATGCCCTGGCCAACTGTGTAGGGAGCGACTCTGGACACACATGCAGCCTGGCCCAGCGTCAGAACCACCATGCTAAGAGAAGAATGGATACGGCAAGGCTGTGGCTGTGTGATTCCATGAACGACAGACATGTACCAACGGGATGGCAAAGAGAGGATTGGGGCCGAGGGGTTCAGGAGCTTTGGGATGTGGCTTGATGGCAGTGGTTGCTGTCTGGCTGTGTGTTTGTCAAACTCATAGAATGTACCCTCAAAAGGGTGAATTTTACTAGGTACAAAGTATGCCTTCACAAACCTGGGTTTTTAAAAAAGTAACAAAATGTTAAAAATCAAAACCAAGCATTAAGCCATCAGACTGCTTTCTCAGACATGTTATTTCTAGACCTGGGTACTTGAGCTCTGTTCTAAGAACGTTTCACCCATGATCTCTTGGTACTGTGTTCCATGTTGTTCACCTGAAAGAGGCATGAAGTTCTGACCCTCTAAACGTGGATGGACTGTGGGGACATCATGCTGAGTGAAACAAGCCAGGCCCAGAAGGACATGCATGTTGTGATTCTGTTTTTGTGAAATGTCCAGAACAGGCGAATGAATGAGTTGTGGTTGCCAGGGCTGGGGGCAGGGAAGCGTTAGGACAAAGGGGGTAGTGACTGCTTGTGGGCATAGGTGATGAGAATGTTCTGGTACTAGATAGAGGTTGTGGTTGCACAATGTTGTGAATGTGTGAAATGCACTGAATCGTTCCTTTTAAAATGGTTAACTTTACGTTACATAAATTTCACATCAAAAAAAAATTTTTTTTTGAAGGTGGTGCTAGGCTCATCTTGATTTTTGTTGGGTTTGCCAAGTGTCCTTGTGGACTTGCTCTGTGGACACAAGGGGTGTGAGCAGTGAGGCCCACCAGCTCCTTGTTCCCAGGGGCGCCCCATTGTGTCCCTGAGCTGTGTTGGGCCTGGTAGTGTGTGTGTACCTGTGTGAGGTTTGTGTGACAAGGACCAGTGGCGGAGCCCCTGGGTGATGTTTGGGCTGACCCCCACCACACCGTCTGGCTGCTGGCCCAAGCCAAGCTCTGCTCTGCCCGTAGCACTGGGTGAGGCAGGGGAGCTGCTGACTCCAGGTAGAGATGATCTTGTGTATTGTATGGGGCTCGTGAGCTTTAACAATACACGTTACAGAGGGCTGAGCAACGATAATGACCAGTGGGATACAGGTAAAATAAAACCAAAGGGTCTCTTCTTTCCAGAGATTCGTAGTTCTGTAAGTACCTCAAAATCTCTTCTGAAATGGTGAAAACAAAATGTATTCCCCACTTGGAAGGTTTTGGTTGCCTCGGCACAAAAATCTGCAGCTCAGTAAAGACAGGGCTGAGTTCTCAGTGTTGGGGTCTCTGAGGCCAGGCCAGGTCCCCACATGCAAACTGGAGAGTGAAATCAGCAAGAAGCCATCTGAACAGAGTATCAGGAAACAGACAGTTCATCCCAAATGTAAACTGTGGTGTTGGCAGAGTAGAAGTCATTCATCTGAATAGGTGAGCAGGGGGTGCTCAGAACCTGCCAGCTCACCCCTCAGCTCTTCATGCCCCACATCCCCCCAGGACAGTCAGAAGAGGGGGAGGCTTGTGTTTGTAATGTGCTGAGATGCTGACATTCATGCCACGCTTGCAGTTTTCTGGAGATTCTCTCCACTGTGTGACCTGTCCCTCATCAGTGGCCACGCCCCTAATTGCTCTAGGGGCTTGGGACTGAGCTCTGCAGCCCTGACTGGACCTGGGCTCTGCAGGGGCCCTCGGTGGGTTCAGGCAGCGAGGCTGGAGCTGGCAGCGTGTGAGCACTGGGGCTGACTTCTCGTGACCTGTGAGTGATGTCCACCAGGAGCACATGGTGTCCTCGTGGGTGTCACCTGTGCGTGGGCCAGCTGCAGGTCTACTTTTTCAGCACTTGCCACTGGCCAGTAACCCTCTCCTCATAGAGCTTCTCTGAGTGAGAGCTGCTCTCACTGCTGGCTCGCCATCTCCGCATCACCTCCTTGTTCCTCTGGGCATGACTGGGGGTTTCATCCCACTGGAGAGTGTACAGTACAAGGGAGAGTGGACAACCCACCTGTTACTTCTTAGCCACTCTTGTAAGAGTTTTCCGAGGAGCCCAATCACTTTCCACGGGAAAGGGTGCAGCCTGGGCCCTCTGCATACGGTCCCCCGACCTCTGACCACAAGAGGGGTACAGCCTCGTCTTTCTGCATATGGTCCCCTGACCATGGCAGGGGTGCGGCCTGGGCCCTCCGTGTGTGATCCCTGGGACAGGTGCACTTGGCACCAACTTCAGGCAAAGCCCCGATGGTCTACTTTGTTTCCCACGTTGCAGTCACCATCTCTGAGTTCTTGTGACGACCCCCACCCTTGGGCTGAGCCGTGAGTCTGGGTGGGCGGAGCTTCCCGTGATGGGCTGGTGAGTCACATGAGTGGTCACAGGGCTGGAGGAGCCCCTCTTACAGCCATCCTGGCCGAGGAAGGCAGCGGGACAGGGCGCTTGGGCATCTGGTCGGGGATGGTCATCATCGAGCTGAGCACTCAGTCCCCCGGGTCCCAGGTTCCCCCAGCAGGAGGAGACGATGCTGCGCTTGGAAGCAGGAAAGGTCACCAAGAGGGAGGGAGGAGGGCGAGCTAGCAGGGGCCTGGCAGAAGGACAGTGAAAGAGGCTTCTATGTGGGGGGGAAGTTCCTGTGGCGTCTCTGGGAGGCTGTGATGGGGGACTAGGTGTGGGCAGTGAGGCGGCTCAGAGCTCTTGGAAACATTCCCTCTCAGTCAGCGTGGATGCTGACGCACACGGGGTCGCTGTCCTCTCAGAAGACAAGGACCACCGATGCCACAAAGTATAGTCCTGGGGCATCAGGTCCCCGATCCCTCCAAGCCTGCTGACTGGTGTCCCCCCTCCCAAGTTACCCCGTCTCCGCTCTTGTGTCCCAGGTGAGCCTAAGCAAGGCTGGCGAGTACTGGTGGAGCGCCATCCTGGAGGGGGAGGAGCATATCGACATTGACCAGATCAACAAGGAACGCTCCATGGCCACAGTGGACGAGGAGGAGCATGCCGTGCTGGACAGGCTCACCTTCGACTACCACCAGAAGCTGCAGGGCAAGCCACAGAGCCATGAGCTGGTACGGGCGGCCTACCCTTCCCGGGCCTTCCCAGTGCCTGTGCTGGTGCAGGGTGTGGATGAGACGTGCTGGGGTGAGGGGTGGATGAGGGTGCTATGCAGGATGTGAATTAGGGTGCTATGTGGGATTTGGACAGCGGTGCTGGGGTGTGGTGTGGGTGGGGGTGCTGGGGTGAGGTGTGGACGAGATGTTGTGGGGCAAGACGTGGATGGGGGTACTGTGCAGAGTATGGACAGAGTATGCTGGGGTGGGATGTGGACAGGGAGCCTTGTTGCAGGGCACAGCTGCCCACTGGGTCCTGGTGTAGGTAGCTCTGGCCTGGTCACTTCGTTACAGCCCGGGACAGGGCACTGGTTCCACTCCCGGATAGAGAGCCCAGGTGGCAGGGCCGAGACGCCTGTCCACATGGAACCGTTAATATCGCAAATGTTCGGCAAAGGAGAGGAGAGCCAGGCCCAGCACTGCTGCAGGGCCCGTGCGGTTCTGACCATGCGGGGCCATGGGAAGAAAGTCTTTCCAAGTCACTTTTGAATGTCGGAGGCCTGAGAAGTCCACATGGCCAGTAGCCGTGGAGGGCGCAGGCGGAAGTCAACTACTGGAGATAAGGTTCACATCTGTTCGGCACAGAGCCTGCCAGGAGCAAGGAAAGGATTAGAGGGCCAGCCCCGTGGCTTAGCGGTTAAGTGCGCGCGCTCCGCTACTGGTGGCCCGGGTTTGGATCCTGGGCATGCACCGATGCACCGCTTCTCCGGCCATGCTGAGGCCACGTCCCACATACAGCAACTAGAAGCATGTGCAACTATGACATACAACTATCTAACGGGGCTTTGGGGAGAAAAAAAAAAGGAAGAGGATTGGCAATAGATGTTAGCTCAGAGCCGGTCTTCCTCAGCAAAAAAAGAGGAGGATTAGCATGGATGTTAGCTCAGGGCTTATCTTCCTCACAAAAAAAAAAAAAAAACAAAGGAAAAGATTAGATTGTACATTCTTCCTTCCGTTTTAATAATCCCAGGAATGGCTATTTAGGGAAGAAAGCGCCAGGAGTGTGAGCCTCAGTGTGATGGGAGCAGGCCAAGTTCAAGCCCATGTCCGGGTGGGTGAATTGCTGGGTGCCACATTTCATGTGTGTCAAACACAAGACCCTGCTCCCCCCACCAGCGCCGTTTAGTTTTGTAGGTATCCCGTTTGTCTCCTGGGGGCCTTGCTGTGTGGCTCCTGTGAGTACTCTGGGCCCGTGGCCGCTGAGCGCTCCACCCTGTGCCTGTTGGTCGTCCTCCGTCTTCGCTTCATTCAGACCTCACACGCAGATGGCCTGCCTTGCCCGTGCAAGGGTGGAGGAGCCATGAGGGGAGCACTTAGTGAGCGCCCACTGCACGCAGGTCGGGTTGGGTTGGCTAGGTCGTGGACTCAGTGTAGCACCCCTGAGAAGAGGGTCGAGTTTCAGAGGTCACAGAACAAGTTCAAGGTCCCTCAGCTGCTCACGCAGCAGGGGTGGAGTGTTAACCCTGGGCCGGTTCCAGGCCTCTCTGTCATCCCTGCCCTGAGTCTCTGAATCTTCTCTCAGTCTGGCTCCCTGACCACCTGGGCTTACAGGGCTGGAACCAGGACTAAGGTCAGCCATCAGATCATGGACATCTTGCTGGTCATGTCTGTGGAAAGTGGCCACTGGCTGTACTTGCTGAGCCCGAGGGGCACGGGACTCGGAGCGCGGCTCACCTCTGCACATTTAGGCAGCAGTTTTAATCCAGTTATGCTGCATCTGCCTGTGGCCACAGGACAAAAGAGCAGTCTGAACACTGGCCCTGTGGGAGGGGCCTCATGCGGCCGTCAGAGGCGTGGGTGTCCCCGCTCAAAGTGGGCAGACTCTGAGCCATGAGGCACGAGTGGGGAGCAGGAGGTCCCTGCTGGCCCAGAGATGGGGCCAGCCAATCAGAAAGGATTAGAAGAAAGAAGAGCCTTGGAGACGCTGTAGTGTACTGGAAAGACCTCTGTGGTTGAGTCAAAAGGGGTTCTGGAAGGACTTGCCATGTGCCAGGCAGCATGCTGACCCAGGGGACATGAGTGCCTGACCGAGAGCAGTGCCCTTATGAGACCTTCATTAAACACAGAGGAGCCCAGGGCTGGCAGTACACGTGACAGGACCTAGGGGTGACCTGGAGATACTAAAAGACCGACATCTCAAGGCCATGGTATTGGAGCTGGGAGAGTGTCCGAAGGCCTGGCCTGGCACCAACAGCCACCTGGGACTCATCTGGGCTTGGCAGGGATTCAGGAAGGAGCATTCGGAGTGGCGCTGACTTCCTGAGGGTTCCACATGGAGCGTCCTCGGTACACAGTTGGTGAGGGAAGTGCAGTGTGGGGAGCCAGGTTCAGGACCAAGAGAAGAACATGAGGCACGAGAAGCTACATGAGGAGCTGGCAGAGCCGGTGCGGCCTGGCAATGAGAGAGCTGAACTTGGTGAAACTTGGCAGTGCTGAAGGCCATACAGCCATGGATGGTTTAATCCACAGTCTCTGTGATCCCTGGAGGAAAGCCAGTCTCCAGAAGAAGGAAATCAGAGCTAGAGCTTCAGCAGGACCCACTGGTGGCTTCAGATGAGGGCCGAGGGGAGGAGGGGCAGCTTAAGAAAGTAGGTAGTGATGATGAAACTGTATCATTTCTTGCGAGGTCTGGGGCAGGACCAGTGTGAGGAGTGGGCTGGGGCTCCATGTTGGAGTTTGGAGTGTGAGGGCTCATCAGACTGCCCGTGACAAGGCCGGTGCACGGGACGTTGTCGTGGCTCTGTGCTCAGAGGGTGTGAGTGCTCAGTGCAGAGCTCACCCAAGAAGCAACAGTCCTCAGATGGGGGCCTTGGAAGGAGTGAGAGAACAGGAGACCAAGGAAGAAGAGGCTTCAGAGGGAGTGGCGGGCAGGAGCTGGAGGAAGAGAGTGCAGACAGAGGCCACTGGGAAGCTTGTGGCTGTGGCGACAAGCCAGTCACCTCACAACTGTGGCCGACACCCTCCCTGGCTGGCACAGTGAGTTGGGCGGTGGGTGGGGCCCCTCGTGTTTGGCGGCTGGTCTGCAGGGCTGCAGCACCTGCTTCTCCAGGTGCTCTTTCCAAGGTCTCCGGTGTGCATTTTCTGCACCAAGTTGGGAGTAATATCAATTAACCCAAATACTCAGTGCGTGTCTTTGTCACACCTGCTGCTGTACCACTTAGGTTTGATAACAGGAAAAAGAAGGCCCCTGTCAGAAGGAGAGTCCTGAAGCCTCGTCAGACACCAGGAATTTTCCCCACTGCTCAGTCTATAGGCCTTGAGACCAGAGGTCGGTAGGGCTTGCTGCCATAGGGTAGCCCAGGCCCTGCGGCAGCGAGACTCTTGCATTTCTCCTGGTCAGAAGGAAGGGGAGATGGTCCCCAGCCCAGTGCGTTCACAGGGAAGAAGGGGGCCTGCAACACAGGGAGGTGCCTTCGTCACAGGCTGCATCCTGCAGTCCCTGGCCACGGGCTGGGATAGCTGATCATCAGCTCTGCCTCCACCGCCCAGGGGCTGTGTGGTCTGTGACTGGTGAGTCGTGGGACTTCCTGAGATATCCCTCCAAGTCACAGCTTGCATCACCCCCGGATTATCTGAGGGTGCAGGCCTTGGTGCTGCCAGCCTCCTCCCTGGGGAAGGGGAGCAGGGTCATCCCCCTGTACCTCAGTCGGCCCTGTGGGCTGTAGCCCTCAGGCCATTAGGAGTTGGGACAGAGATTCCTGGTGAGGAGGAGCCGCAGCTGACCCAGGAAGGCAGCCAGCGCTCACTGGATACAAGATGGGATGGAATCAGCATGTGAGGAGCACAGGATCGTGGAGGGTTTGCTGTCACCCCAGGTGGGTCCTCCTCTGGAGGAAGCAGAGCGGAGTCCTGCTCTGGGACGTTAACCTCTCTATTTTCTGTTTGTAGAAAGTCCATGAGATGCTGCAGAAGGGGTGGGACGCTGAAGGCTCTCCCTTCCGAGGCCAGCGATTCGACCCAGCCATGTTCAACATCTCCCCAGGGGCTGTGCAGTTTTAAAACTGAAGGAAAGGAAGCCCTCGCCGGTGGGGAGCGGGCCTGGGCTCTCTCCTGCCAGGGCCTCGCTGTCTGGTTCGCCCTCGCCAGCGTGTCTTTCGAGGGTGAACCTGGCCTCTGCCCTGACCCTGCACTTCCAGACTGTTCCAGAGCAGGGTGGGCTGAGAGGGTGTTGGAGAGCAGGGGCCGTCCCAGCAGACACAGCTCTGGCCTCTGCTGCCCCCGTCACCCGAGCTCTGCCGGCTGCTGTTCGCGCTTTGCTTGCTTTTCTTGTTCCGGGGGCGGGGCACGGGCGCCAGGCCGGCTGTTGAAGCTGGGCAGAGGGGCTGCGCTTCTGGGCAGTTTGAGGAACGTTCAGTCTTGACCTCTTGCTGGGCACATTATGTGCAGTCTCGCTTCTCTGCTTGTAAGCGTCCAGTGCCTGCCTTGGCCTCGTCGCAGAGCAGCGGAAACTGGAGTCCTGATTGCCAGATCTGGATGTTGAGAGAGGGTCTCATGGCCTCAAGCACAGCAGGATCTGTCTGTCCTCTGACCAGGCGGCCCTGCTCCCACCGGACCCGGCGCTTTCTTCTCGTGGGACTGGTTCTCGTCCAAGTGCACCAGGCCGGGCTCCCTCAGAAGACCGCAGTCCCTGGGCCCTTCTTGCCTGAGGCCTGACCATGCCACACACAGCTCACAGCTCTGCTCCCACAGCTCTGCTCTCATCGCTTTCCCAGGGCCCGAAGCCTGCACCCCAATCCTAGAGGGCCCTGTGTGCACGTCTCCAGGACTGTGGGGCTGCCCTGGTGGGCGGGCACCTTGAAGGTCTCCACACCCAGGAACCTGCTCTCCTGGGCTCTGCCTGCTCGGCTGGGGGAGGAGGAGCCTGGTCTGGGTCGTGGTCCTTATGGAGGCTTCCGCCCTCACCTGTGTAGGTGGGAACTGGTTCATCACAGTCTGACTCACAGGGTGACTGACAGCTCTATAAGAAGCATCCCTGGGTCCCTGGTCACTTTGAGCTGGAGGTGCAGATACTAGGTGGCTGGCGGGAGTACCGCCAAGGGGACACAGAGCCGTGTTGTCTGCATTCATCACTGAGGCTGCTCATAGAGCTGCCAGGACCGTTCTTCAGGGTCCCCAGGATTTTCACGCCTATCCCACATAACAAAAGGTCTCATGGCAGATGTCTGCCTGAGAACCATTCTCATGTCTCCACCTCATCCCCTCTCCCACCCGGTGCGGGGGTCTTCCAGAGTGACAAGGTGGGCTGTGGCACACCAGCACCTCGGCTATTTGGTTGACTTCGGAAGCTGTGGACTCCGTGGTCAGTTGTCTTCTCTTGCCTGATTTTATTTTCAGTGTTGCATCTCTTCCCACCCTGCCCACTCTAACAGTAGCATACCCTATCTGGGAGTGGTGGGCTGGGGGTCACTGGTCGCACACAGCTGATTGCAGGTCAGCCTTGCCGTCTTGTGGATATCCTCTGCCCCTTGCTGCCGGCCTGGGCCCTGGAGCTGGTGTGCTCTACCTGTTTTCTCTCTTTAGACACGACAGCAGCAAATTGGCCCCTGAGCTCCATCAGCTGAGGTCCGCAGAAAACAGGGTGCCCACCTGCGAAGTTGCCTCGTCTCCAGTGTTGGTTTGCAATAAATCTGTATTTAAGCACTTCTGGGTCTGTGTGTGACATTTGCTGCCGAGTTCTCTGTGTGTGTGTGGTCATTACCCAAATTCTAGCCGTGAGGTCCCTGGCCCACGTACACAGCAAACGCCAAAATGAGGAATTCCTAAATATCTCCTAAAGATGTTTCCCATCCAGCCTGCACGTTGGCAAGACTACACACAGCTTTTAGAAATCTAATAAGCTTTTGATCAGGAAAAAAGAATTGTAGCTGTGCAGCTTACAACCATTTCCAGCAGGTCTGAAAACCCCAGGTGAGCGCAGGACGCAGAACACTTCAGCTGGAGGGCTCTTGGCACCCCGTTTGCCTGCACTGGCCCCGGAACGCTGGCTCATGTGTCTGCCTGCACCCCCTCCAGGCACCACAGGTGTCTGACCGTCCCCTTCCTCAGTCCCATCGCTGTGTTGGGCCGCACTCAATGGACAGAACCTGGTGGGTATTTCCTGATGAGCTTTTCTTGAACGAATGAAGAATGCTTAAATGGCTGAATGGCAGCGTTCCTGAGCAACCTCCCAGGACTAGAAATAAGCTGCCAGGAAGGAGAGCCAACAGTTTGCCCCCAAAGCGCACGGGAGAACAGTCAGGGGTGTTCTGTGTGGAAATGTGTCTGGGAGGCAGCAGCTGCCATACAAAGACCTGACCGCCCAGAACACAGCCTGGGGAACAGACCCAACCCACCTCCAATCTGCTCCCAGGGCGGGCCAGCTGGCAGCGAGCTTAGCCCCGGATGGGGTGGCTCATTTTCACTGATAAAGAGAGTGAAGTTGTGGGCGCAGAATCTGGCCAGCCCTGGGTAAGCACTCTCCCCCTTGGTCAGAGGGCGGGCGCCAGAGCAGAGCACGTGCCCAGGATGGTGGGGCGCACATGTGGGACCAGGCCTTGTGGTCTGGGAGGCAGGTCGTCTGAGCCGGGCCGCTGTTGGGCGTGCTTTCCCTGGACACCAGGTTGGAGCTTTCGTGGCCACCTGGTGCCCACGTGGATGTGGTTGGGAAGCTGGAGCCTCTCCTGCCAGTCTCTGTCATGACCCCAGTCAGGGACAAGAAAAAGTAGTCTCAGACTCAGCTTACCCCTCAGCCAGCCCTCACGAGTATGTTTTTGTTTTAGTCTGTCTATCTTGGTTTTATTCTTCACGACTGAAGGTTGAGTGCACTGGCCTGCCTTCAGAGGGAGGAAGGGTCTGTCAGGTGCCCGGTGGGGCCTTAGATCTGCCCTGCCCTCCTCTCAGCTCCGGGCTGCCCTGGGAAGCTGCCTGCTTGGAGGGTGTCAGGAGGATGGGCTGGGTTCATGGAAGCTCTAGCTTCCCTTGGGAGAGTGCAGCCCCCAGGACTCAGTTTTGCTGTTGCTGAGGGGATGGGTCAGTGTGGTGGAACAGAGTCACGCTCCCATGTAGATAGAGAGCCCAGTGGGCCTGATGTGGCCATCTTCCCCGAAGCAGGCCCTATAGGAGGCCCATGCAGGAGAGATGCCTGGACCCACAAGTGAGTCAGGGATTCTCCAGGAAACCCAGGCCAGGCCTTCCGCTACTTCTGTCCTGGTTCCTCCTGGGAGAGACCCTAGGCTTTTTTGCCAGAGCTGGATGGGGCCTTAGGGACATTTTGGGCCAACCCCTCGCTGTACCATGGCCACAGAGGAAGTGATGCCCCCAAGGCACGAGTGGGCCCCACTCCTGCCTTGTGCCCTGGGTGGCCCAGTGGTTCCTCCTGCCTCTGGTACCCGTGGGACACCCTCCCACCCCCGGCACTGGCATACGTTCCGCAGATGGGTGATGGGAGGAGTGGGGGGAGAGGCCCCCAGTCATTCGCCCACTGAAATCCTAACAACTCAGATGTTCCAAGAGAAGGACTCTGAAGGGCAGCTAACTCATGTGTAAGCCACCTGGCTGCTGGGTGCTCCCTAATGAGGGCTCCCCGTGACGGGGCCCCCTTGTCACTGGACGGGGCCACCAGAGGACAGGGCATAGAGGTGGCACAGCTGGGGGCTTTGGGGAGGCTCCTCCTGCAGGGAATAGGGGCCTGCTCCTTGAGGGGCAGGGCAGTGAGAAGCTGCCCAGGTCATGACTTTCCAGGGACTGGGGTCTGGGCTGTTGTGTGACCTGGCAGTCTCTGGTGGGCCTGGACTCGGGAAGACTGCTGAGCTGCAGTGTGGGAAGTCAGGAGCCACCACAGATAGCGGTGCCTGGCCCGCAGAGCATGCTCCACAGTGGTGGCGCAGGGAGTTTGGGGTTAACAGAGGCTGGGCAGGGGCTGCAGAGCTGGGGTTAGGGGGGCACTTCAGGTGGGGAAGGCACCAGCAGCCCCATGAACACCTGTCATGGTCAGGCAGGCCCTCAGGGGGAGGTGGAGGCTGGGAAGGTGCAGGAGCACCAGGTATGTTCTCCCGCAGCCCTGCTGGGGCCAGATGTCCTGCGTCTTCTCAAGATAAACACCCCGTTCCTGTGTCTTGGAAGCAAAAAGAACATTAGTGGCCACTCCGAGCCTCCTGTGTGCAGGGGTTTGTGCCGACTCCCACACACATCACCATGAATGCTTCTCAGCAGCACAGGCACCAGGAGAACTTACTTGAGATGTGACGTAGTGGACTGCAAACTCTGGGGTGGGAATTCTGATGAACCCCCAAAGTCTGGGAAGCACTGATCTGAATGGCATTGCGAGTGGGTCCTGCCCAGCGCTGTGGAGCGCCTGGGGTCCAACCATTTGGCTAGCCATGGGTTTAGGACCCTCACTGAATGAGCAGCCATGGGACAGGGGAGGGTGCTGGGGTGTCCCAGACCCAGAGAGGGTGGGTGCCTTCCTGTGCTCTAAACCGCCCCCCCCAGCCTTACTTACAAGCAACTCGGGATCCAAGCGTGGGGTGAGGAAGGAAAAGGGAGAGGAAGCCTTGGGCAGGTAGGAGTTTTGCACACCCTGTCTCTAGACCACTCTCTTGCCAAGAGGTGGGACACGGGGTCCTTGGGGACTCCATCAGAGGCCTCCCCTGGTGGACCCCTGGGGAGGACCCATGAATCCACTGACCTCGTCTCACTTGCTGTGAAGCCTCTTTTGGGCTGGTTTCCTCAGAGAGACGCCTGCCCAGCTGGGGACTGCCCTGAGGGCCAGGTATGTCCTGCCTGTCTCTAGACATGAGCACCTAGTGGCAGAAGTGGGCCCTCGTGTTCAACCCCTTGGTTAAGTGGAAGGCAGGCAGTGTTTCTGGAGCATTCCATTGCAGTCTGTTGGACCAGACAGCATTAGAAGTCATGCAGGGCATCCTGGGTACCCCCTCAGATGGATCAGCACCCACGATGCCAGTCACAGGTGTTTATGGCTGCTGTAAGCAACGCCAGTCTCCGGAACCTCCAACTACCTGGGTTAGTGACCCAGTTAAAGCATAAAGATAAGGACCCAGGCCGACAGGGCTGGGGATGGACTCAGGAGGCCAGGTGGAGCCCACACATCCCGCGCACCCCAGAGCCGGGTCAGGCCTTGGATTTGACCCCAAATTCCCAAGGGCTCCAGCAGGGAGGAGCCAGCTGGGGAGGGCAGCCTCACAGAGACCCAACCAGCCTCTGCATGTCCTCCTTCCCCTCCTCCCAACCTTCTCTCCCTCTTCATCTCCCCAGCCAGTCCCAGCCCACTGCATGTGGTCCTCAGGACCCTGGTCCACCTGCTCCACCAGGAAACTCGAAGCCAGTGCCAGCAGGAAGGTGCAGACCCGGGCCCAGGTGTGCGGGGTGGC